GCGCTGCCCTGGGAGCATCCCCAGGCTGACGCTCATGCATGGTTTGGCCTCGGGCAGGGGGAGCTCAGAGAATGAACAGGGGGTGTTTGTTACAATAGGACACCGAGGATAAGGATGAAAAGGCCCAAAAGCTTCATAGCACTCATACMTAACAATACTTAAGCTTTGCTTATACCTGAAACATAACAATTTAACACAGGAACTGCACTTAACTTCCACCTCTCTCAACTCACATCTCAAGCTTAACAATTTGCCAGAGGATAACACTTAACAGCTCTTAACATAACTCAGGACTTCATRGAACTCAGCAGCTTTGCAAAAAAAACATCACTTAGCATCATTTAACTTAGCTTGTAACTGATGACTTAAGCTTGCTTCTGGCCCTAACTTGCTCAGATATCTGAGGCACGTGAACACCTCAGAGAGCAGCATTTCTGCCAGCTTTGCCATAGCACAGGCACACGTGTGTGCACTCAGAGCAGNCAGCAATTCCCTCGGGGAAAGGGAAATGCTCACTTTGGATGCCTTTGCAGCTCTCATCTCAAACAGTTGAGCCTTGGGCAGTGGGGGAATACGCCCAAGGCCTGTCGTTGTTTGGGAATCCTCCAAATTCAGCAAACCAGAGTTCCTGGCTGGGAGAGGCTCCAGCACAGGGAGCTCGCTGGTCCAGGAGAGCTCCATGGGGCTCATTCTGGAGCATTGTTCATAGGTTATGAGAAATGGGCTGTAGTCATAGCAGTGCTTCGTCTCACTCTAAGTTTGGCTCTGCCCTTCCTTTGAAACTGTGAGAAAGGGGCTGTTGCACTGTTCAGGCAAGAAAAAGTTCCCAAAGCTGCTCCTAAAGGAACCAGCTCGTTGGACAGCAGCAGTGCCTGGGAGCAGACAGGGTTTCTGATAAAGTCCAGAGAAGCTGAGCCCAGGAGCTGTTCATCCAAGGGCCAAGGCCTAACGAGCATTTCTGAGATCATGGTATGGTCTGGACAAGGGGGGATGCACCCCCACCATCCACCCCGAGACTAAAGCCAACTTCTCCTGCTCCACAGGGTGCCTGTGTGGTCACCTCTGGCCTCTGTTCCTGTAGATGGAGATTTGATTTTGTCCCAGTTACAAAGCAAGGAACATTTTTGATTGAGTTACCTTTTTATGACTTCTCTGAATGTGATAGAATGACGTTCTATGTGCGAGGAGGTTTGCTGATATCCAAACTCTAACAATAAGAACAAAATTTAACAAGGAGCTGGGTAAGACAAAAATCAGCAAGATTACAAGAGGATGCAGTATCAGATCTAGAATTCCTCTTGTGGCTAGTGACCACCTGAACAAAATGACCCACAGTGATGTTCTTCATCTCTTCTCACTCTTTTCAACACATGGGGTATTTCTCCTGTCTCCTGATGAACAGTGATTAGAGCTGTGTCCATCAGTTCAGACACATTTGGACCTTTGACAGTGTTACTTTCACCCATAAATCCCTGTTATTCTCACCCAGATGTGCTGGCATCATTGTTCTTATTGTTCCCGTTTGGGTATCAACATTGGTTTGTGACAAGGACAGATCAAACTGACCTGGGGGGGATTGCCTG